TATGGCAGAGCATTATAAAGTGTACTGGAGTTTGATCACTTTATTGTGACTTAAAACTTGCTGGGAGAAAAAGCAACCATTTCTTTTTTAAAAATTTATTCTTATTAGATATATGACAGTAGAGTGTATTTTGACATATTATACATACATGGAGTGTAACTTCCCATTCTTTTGGTTGTACATAATGTGAAGTTTCACTAGATGTGTATTCATATATGAACACAGGAAAGTTATGTCTGATTCATTCCACTGTCTTTTCTATTCTCATTCCCACTCCCTTCCCTTCATATCCCTTTTTCTAATCCAGTGAACTTCTTTCTCCTCGCTTATTCATGATGACTTTGTTGATATTACTCAGACTAGATCCAAAAAAAAGGTCAATTTTGGTAGAGTGCATAAAATGTTTGACTTAAATGAAAAATACTTGTCAGTACTAGACCATCAAATTCCTCAATATAAGTATGCTTAATGAAATAAAACATGAGTAGGGTATTGCACATCTAATAAACATTGTGCTAGGACAAATAAGGCTGGATAAAATACTGTCTGTGAATCCAGCCTTTGCTTTGTTTGGGGTGTGTTACTCATTCGAGGTTCAACTGATCCCCTTATTGTGGGATCCTGACATTTAACTTCATCAAGATGCCTTTAATGCTTGAAGTTTTATTCACGGAAGTACCATTGTTTATTTAGTTTTAAAGTTCCAACCAGAACATCTCCTGAAGATTAGTGTATCCTGCCAAATAATACCTTTAGCATTGTAAAACAGTCAGTGTGATTGAAATCCAGGACTTAATCTTCCATGAAACTTGTGTTTATTCAAGCAAAGTTCAACTGGTCAGCAAAGGACAAGAATAAATTAGTTATACAATGAAAGAATTATTGGGATAAACAATAGAAATCAGGAAACTTTTCCCCAAATAGAAATATTCTGAAAATACCTCCTGTCAACTACATTTTTTTTTAAAGCAAGGGTAATGGCTTTTTCTTATGCCAATTGTAGGATAACAATATTAGAAACACAAGTCACTTTTTCTCCAATCCATTTAATTATTGACTTGTTGATGTTAGTCTCTTGAGTCTTTTATGTCTAGGGCTCTTGTCTCTTGAGGATTTTCCTCCTTCAAATTATGTGAGCATTAATATAATCACCTTTACTGGGGCTTCTCTTTGTTTTAGTTTTCCCTGAACTGAATGCATGGCTTACATTACAAAGACTTCATTTTAAAACTTACTCAAATGTTACCAAAGTGTTTAAAGGTGAGACTATGATAGGCCCATGAAAGTCTAAAGTCCTGATACTAATAAAAGAGAATAAGAGGTCCCAGTACACATAGACCTGTACACATTGCTTTCTTTCTTTCTTTTTAAAATATTTTTAGTTTTAGACAGACACAATACCTTTATTTATTTTTATATATTCTGAGGACCAAATCCAGTGCCTCACGCATGGCAAGAGCTATACTACTGAGCTACAACCCTAGCCCTTTCTGTTTTTTTTTTTTTATATACCTTAATTTATCTTGCTTCCTAAAATTTTGCCAGACACTCCCTTTGGTTATTTCAGACCCAAACAGAAAAGATCGATGGCAAATCTTTTTCAGATGTGTGGAAAATTAATTCTATACTATTTTCTTGAGAAATTGTGACCATTTCCACCCCTACTACATTTTTTCTTAAACTGTTGGGGGAAAGTAGGAAGCAAAACCAATGGCAAGTCCTTGAATTTCAGTTATTTGGTTAATGCAGAAGAAGTGGGGCCATCTGCATATGACATGGTATACCTGGGAGGCGTCAACAGATGGGATCACCCCATAGAGCTTACTTGGTATGCTTATCCTCACTGGGAAAGTTAAAAATGCCATGGAAGGAATGAGTATATCTTCAGGATTGTGTCATATTGTATTTCTGTCATCTAGAGCTCAGGGTTGTGATTTAGATTGAGGAAGTCAGCAGAGGGACACTGTGTTATAATTTTACAGTTATGATCAGCCACTTCACTCTTTGGAGAAAGCATTTTTAAGGTGAGCAAATAGAACAGTTGCCCAGCCAGTTCATCTCTAAGTTGCACTTTAGCCATGAGATTAGTTATTTCTTTATTGCCTTATGAATTAATAGTTTTATAGCATTTGAAGCAGACTTTTGTGAAGTGTCACATGTTTGCAAACTATAACAACTATTATACCTAAATCATATTTTATTTGTTTCCACCTTATTCTTCCTGCCCAAAGTTCCCTTTCCCATTTGACCATTACTACTTTTACTCTGTCTCATTATCCTTTCCCAGTTTTGTCCCTTTGATGTTTGTCTTGCATGGCTAGGAGTTTTATAAAGCACTAGCCTTTACAAAAGAGATGCATTTTTTGCGGTAATCTCTGTACTCCTCTCACCCCCAAATAAAAGATTTACTGTAGTTAACAAATTTAGGTGTCAGAATTCTTTTGAGACCATTTGTTGCCTCTCTGGCCCTGCCCGGGTTTATGGGTATCCAACTCAAGGTTTGTTCCTGTGGTAATATCTCAGTTGAGAAATCATTGAGGAGCATCAGGCTCAGATACCCAAAGCCTTTCCTTTTTTTTTTTTTTTTCCCTCTCTCTCTCCCCCACTTTCCTCCCTCCCCTCTCTCACTCTCTCTTTCTTCCCTCTACCCCAGGTTTGCCTAATGTTTCCCCATAATACTTCTTTGAAGGATGGCTGTGCCTTAGGGCATCTGGCAGCTAATGCTTTCAGCTCTGGAACATCTTAGGTTCAGGCACATGAGTTATAGAATTTCGGTTAAGATTTCTTTATAATTGCATTTACAAACAACAGGGCTTTTGAATTCTGGTAGTATTTCTTCCTATACATAAAGTGATTTGAACTAAGAAGATGAAATTGAGTCATACAGTTCTTACATGTAGTTGGTATCACAGTCTAAATTTCTTGATGGCAATGGGTATACCTTATGTATCATTGTATCACATGCCTGGAACATAGTGAGCATTCTAAATTTTTGTTGAGTAACAAATGGGGGAATAACAGGAATAAAGAAATGGCAATATAAATTTAAGAATAGCTTATGCAGTGTTGTAAAAACTTCTTTTAAATGATGTTTAGGAATCAGTGGAACGTCTAACTGTGGCATGACCATACATGACCATACAGAGAACATACTTATAGATGGTCAGTTGGGCAACTAAATGATAAGGTTTGTTCCTGTGGTAGTATCTCAGTTGAAAAATCATTGATAAATGATAAGGGTGTTCTTGGCTAGCATGCCGCTCCTTGAGGCTACAGTCAGGTTTTCTTCATATGCTCATGCTTAAATCATAATAAATAATTAGATATTTAAAATTAATTTTAATAAGAACAGCAAAGTGACAAGATTAAAAACAGTGTTAAAGAAAAATCTTTTGAAAAAAAGTACGAGGCTTAGTTTTACTACATATTTTTTATGTGTGTGCATAATTCATATAACTGTATTAACAATATATTTTTTCTTGTTTTCTTTTTCCAGCTAACTTGGTAATTTTCCATGCAATCAATATATTTTAATTCTGCACACATGTGAGATTATGCAACCTGACATCCTAGCATTTGTGTAGAAATTTTGCCAAATTATTTATATAGGCCAAGGGTGAATAAGACTGAATTTCTTAGGTTAGTACATTAAATATCATCTGGTTGCTTTTTTTTTGGCAGTATACTTTTGGGAATCTGGTTTTATTTTGTTTCTAAACAGAAAGAAGATAGTCCATACTAGTGGGAGTTTTAGGGAATTTTTTTTTTAAATGTATGTTTCTGTTTTCTGAGTATGTCATGATTGAAATTAGAAAAATGTAAATTATTTATGCAGCTGAGGAGATTCTTTATGTTGTTGATTTGTTCAGAGCCCTTTTATAGAAAAAAATGTTACTAAGTGATGTGTTTACTAGGCGAAGTGAGTCTTTCAACAGAACTTGAAGTTCTTTTATAGTTAGATATTTCTAGATGGGTGTTTGAAAATGGCATTGTGTATTTGAATTATGTCTTTGAACCTTCTCCAACTTTTTTTTTTCTGTGTGACCTGGATGAGACGTCTAATCATACCTGAAAAAGTAGAGATAAAAAAATTTGGTGTTGTGATTATGATTATATTGATAAGTTCATATTCCATAGGGCTACTGTGAATAGAGGGAGCATTTAAAAATTGTGTTGGGCTCTTTTGAACAACTTTTTCAGTGTGTGGTAAATTGTTAAGAATCCCCCATTCTTAGGAGGAAGTGTAGATAAAGACGACAGGGACCTAGAAGCTATGTAGTATGTCCTTACTGATTACAGGTTTCTTCTGAGCATAGGACTTAGTAGACATAGGCATTTGGCCTTGTGGATCAGGGAGTCCCAGCCCAGGACTGGGTGTGCTGACTCATCTGGTGTTTTTCCTGCAGTGCCTAGCCCAGTGTTGATTGGGTGGTTTTTTTTTTTAGCTTGAAAAAGATCTGTCATCATTTTCAACTAACAGCTTCCACCAAACCTCCTGATTGCAAAGAGTAGAAGACTTGTTAGTTCCCTTGCCCTATATCATTGATAAATCAAATATAGATTTATGTATGTATATATGTGTGGGCATGGAGGGCTGGGAGTAAGATCTTTCTAATTCAGAAAGAGTGGGTTATTTCTATTGAAGATGGGGTTTGAGTGGAAGAGAGAGAGCCGTGATTGAAGGCTTACACAGCACAAAGTATTGTTAATCTAGTGAAGCAAATTTAGACTGAATACTGACAGTGCAAGCAGAGACCAGGCCCTTGGGATCTTGTCCAGCTTGAGGATGTCTTACTTGCTATAATCATTAAAAGGACAACTTAAAAAACTAGGGATTGGTTGTAAAATTACTGTATAGTTTTAGTGAGTGGGAGTTAAATGAATTATTTCAGAAAATATTGGGAAAAAAATAGCCACACATCCTTAGCTAGAGTTAGGCATTCCTGAATCAATGAGAATCGTCATTTTGTTAATTTCATCAACATGTTCATTTCTTTCAGCTCCATGTTCATGCATGTCTTTTAACCCGGAAACCAGAAGACTGTCCATAGGTCTAGACAATGGTACAATCTCAGTAAGTACACATAAATAAGATTTCCAGTTGAAATACTTCCCTTCCTGTGGAGTATGTATATGTATTGTGATGAGAATTATTTCTTAGTTTTTTCAAATTAACAGAATCATTTTCTTGCTAAGTAAAGTGGAAATTACAGTGAAGCATGTTATGGTGAAGGAAGTGATTCTACATAGGGAGAGCTGTCATCAGTCAACTGACATGCTGACGAAGCTCAGCATGACCTACCACACGTACAGTAGCCAGGCTAGGGACGTTCGGAGGCAGATGAGTGAGCTGCATGAGTCTGCCTTACTAAGAGCAAGCTGAGATACTGAACTTTGATCAGATGATTAAACATGGTGTTAACTTTCCCACACAAGCAACAGAACCCAAGAGAAATGCCTTTTTTTTTAAACATCTGCATGTCTGATCTTGTCTTTGATACTCTGTGTTCTCCTCCTTCTACTTTCTGATTTCCCAGCTCCCTCTAGCACGTGAATAGAATTCTGTAAATTTTGTATGAATTTGTCAGGAAAGCGCAGAATCTAGGTTTTAGTCTGTAGGATAGATCCAGATTAAATATTAGACCCTTTGATTGTAGATCTTGAGGGCATTGAAGTGATTAGAGAATGGAATTTGAAGTTATATCTACCTTCTTAATCTGACATACTGAGTTTCAAGTAGTAAAAATTCTGCTCTGTACATTCTCTATTTGATTAGCATTGCTTTTAGTCCCAGGCAAGAGAAGCTGTACTTTGGGACTTGTGAATGAGAAAGCACTACTCTGGCCACACGTGCCCCCAGCATGAAGGGCCTGAAGGCCTGAGGGGTAGGACCAGCCTGAGCCTCACTCCCTCTCTCCCTGCATCCTCTGTGCACTGCTACTGTGGAATTTCCTGCCCTCAAATAGCTCAGAGCTCCTTCCAACATCTTCCTGGGCCTTTTCCCTGGGTTGCTCCTTAGGAAGGTAAAACCAGTGAGTACATCTAGTTCTGAGGAGTGCCTAAAGGGGAGCAGTTTGAGGTCAGTAGGATGTTCACACGTGTATGTAGGGCCCCTCAAGATGTTGACAGAACTGGGGAAAGGGAAGAGCAGGGGGCAGGCTGGCCACAGAGGTGTAGAACTTCAAAGAATCTAAGAACCTGTATAGTCAGGTAATTGAAGGTCTATTTGTCAGTGTTAGAGATGAGGCCACATGTTATTTAATGGTCTAACTTAATAACCCTCTAATTTTTCTTTTTTGGCACTGGGGATTGAACCCAGGCCTCACAAATCCTTAGGCAAGTGCTTGGCCAGTGAGCTATTTTCCCAGCCCTTTTTGTTTTTTTATTTTGAGGGTCTTGTTAAATTGTCTAGGCTATATCTGAACCAATGATCTTCCTACCTCAACCTCCCAAGTAACTGAGATGACAGTGTTCGCCACTGTGCATGGCTTAGACATATGAAATATGGGCTTTCATTTGTAGTCTTAATCCTAGTCCCTATCAGTGTTAAAGATAGGCCTGAAATTTTCTGACCTTTGGTCAAAACATTTGTGGAGTGGCCTTTATGGAAATATTGAACAATATTGTATATAGGAGCCTATTGGCAAATTTATGGAATTTCCATAATATCCAATGCATTTGGTAGGTCGAATTTCCATATGCATTTGGTAGTTAAGGGAAGATATAATATCTACCTTTATATACTTTAAGAAGAGCCATTTTTAAAAGGAGGGATGTGTTATTTATAGGATAAATTCATTTTTAAAAGATTAGAGGAAACTGGGCATGGTGACATTTGTCTGTAATCTCTGTAATTTGGGAGGCTAAGACAGGAGGATTGCAAGTTGGAGGCCATCCCAGGCAACTTTGCAACCTGGGCAACACTGTCTCAAAATAAAAACTTTAAAAAGGGCTGAGGATGTAGCTCAGTGATAGAGTACTTGCCTAGCATATGTGAAGGTCTGGGTCTAATCCTCAGTACCACAAAACAACAATAGATAAATAAATAAATATTAAAGGGATTGGATTGTTCAATTTACTAAAGTATTCTTTACAAAGGAAATCTGAAAAGATGAGCTGAGATTCATGAATTACCTATTAGTTCATAGAATCATGTGTATAACATTCATTGTCCCTGAAAAGACTTAGATGCATATTTCATATGGGTGGTTCTCTGTACTTTTGAAATATTGGTGATTAGTGGGAGCTGATAAATGAAGGCAAGATAGGAAACCAAAGCAAGTGATGGAGAGTTCTAGCTGTTTATTGTTTAGAAGAGGAGAAACCATCTTAGCCATTATTCCTTTCAGTAAATGAAACTGCCAGAGAGCTGGAGCGTCTGTTAGGTACAGGAACTTGGTCATTTCCCTGCCTGTCAGAACAGTCGAGACACCAAACCTCCCTGTACTTTGATCTTTCAAAAAAGATTGTGGCCCTGGCTTGTATAAGATAATTTCCTTAAAAGTGCCTCCTTTATGTTATTGAAGAAAATAAATTGTACACCCTATCTGAGGAATTGTAAAGAGCTCTGAATTAAGGGAAGATACATTGAGAGAACAGCATGTTTAACATTCAAGATTCTCATTGATCACTATAATAACACGTTCTTTGCTGAAAATAGACTTTCAGCTGTTAATAGTTTACTTTCTAGACATGAGAAATCCTGCTTCAGAGACTATACATTCTGTTTCCTGAATATAGCAAATTTGAAGAAGAAATACTGGTTAAATCTTTTAAATAAAGAAAAGACACAACCAGAAAGTAAATCCATGTTTCACTTTATTTTGCTAAATACAAAACATATTGTGAAACCTTTGAATGACAATTCAAATTAGGTTACTGAGTAATGAATTACAGATGAAGTAGAGATAACAAATGCGCTTATTCTTTAAAAAGATCTTGGCCACAGGGAAGGAGAGGATGAGCCCTGGAACTAACTAGTCTGGAGAAGAGACAAATAGCAAGAGAGTACACAAGAATTTGGAGAATTAGCTATGGGCAAAAATGAGGGCAATTTTGAAAAAGAAGGGAAAGAGACAAACATTCAGTTTTTACATGTAGAAGAATACCTTTGCCTCCATGAAGTAGCGGATGAGATCACCTACAGAGAAGAGCTTAAAAATAAAGAGTCTATTTTCATACCTATATCTTTTGCTTTTTCTGATTATATCGCTCAGAATTCTCTTCTTGGTCTACAAAGTCCTTGTTATCTTCTGAAGCCTCATTCAACTGGTATTTTTCCTATTTTATTTTATTTTAGGCATATGATTCCTATACCCTACTGATTAAAATTAATCACATATATTATTCAATAGGTTAGCTATTTGATTGCTTATTTAATTTCTGCTTTGAAATGTTTTCAAGTCTGTCTCTTCTATTAAAGTGTTGAATGTTAAGGATTTGGCCAGTCTTTTTATTAGTGTGTGTGTGTGTGTGTGTGTGTGTGTGTGTGTGTGTGTGTGTGTGTGGTGCTGGGGATTGAACGCAGGGCCTTAGGCATTCGAGGCAAGCACTCTACCAGCTGAGCTAAATCCCCAGTCCATTAATCTCTTCTTTAGCAGATCTTAGTGTGATTCCTTATATGAATTAGGGACTCAATGAATAATTTGTCTCAAATCAATTTACTGACTAGAGTATAAACTCTATTATGATTTATATAGTTAGTTGTAACAAGCACCTGCTTAAATTCCAAGATAGTAAATTATTATAATTCTATTACTACATAAAATATTTTTCAAATGGAAAAGTTGTACCAATAGTTTAATTCATCTTGAGTTTTCAGAAATATCTTGTATCCATATTGAAAGCACTCAAATTATGCTACTATTCATGCCTAAGCAGGACTTTAAAATTTTCACTCATTTTGCCTCATGTCTTCTAGCCAACCAACAATATCTAAATATCAAAAGGTGAAGCTCAGTTCTAACATAGTGTGGCTCTTGGATTTATGATACAGTGGAGGAAACCTTAAAAATGAAGTATGAATAAATAACCGTAAACAAACCACAGTGCACTAATACTGAGCATGATGTTGGCAGCATAGTAAGGTAAGAGGAGAGAGGAAATGGAGGTCGGGGATAGCTCTCTGGAGACTGGATGTGAGCTGGATTTAGAAGAAGAGCTATGATTTGATTAGCTAAAGAGAGGAAGGTAAGGTATTTCAGGCAAAATTGCTGACATGGGAGAAAAAACATGGAGGTAAAAAGGGCAAGGAATGCTTGGAGAGAAGCCAACTCATGTGGAGATAGGATTCGTGGAATATTGTGAAAGCCTTGACTCAGGATGAGTGGATAGCATTGTGTAAGGAACGAGACCCCTAACGTGGTTCCTAATGTGGAAGAGTCTCTCCACTCCACCCCAAGACTTTCTGCTATATTTAGAGGGGATAATTAACTGGAAAAAAAATGTCAACATAGAAATAAAGAGTTTCTATTATCTTCAGAGCTGTTCTTATCACCTGAGACCAGGATTTTAAACTCAAGATATTCTATTATGTTCGGAAAGCTCAAGATACTGCAATAGTTATAATAATCCTAATACCCAGTAATTCCCTCTTATACACAGTTTCACTTCCTAAGGTTTCAATTACCTGTGACTTACTGTGGTCCAAAAATATAAAATAGAAATTCCATAAATAAATAATTCATAAGTTTTAAATAACTTTTGTTTTTTGAGGTACTGGGGCTCAAAACTTAATTTTCATCAATCCTACTGGATAGTCATAGTGATGTTTATGTGTTCATCTTTATGAATAAATGTTTTCTTCTCCATCATATGGAGCCAAAATTTTATTAATATCTTGCCAGAATAAATTTATAGTCATTGAAGAGTTTGTGAACACATCCTTGAAATAATAAAATTTCTCCCTTCCCTGAAAATTACTTTTATGTGTGTGTTAGGTGAAGCTTGAGACGAGTAGAAAAGATTCATCTATGTAATAGTTAACATTCAGAACAGAGATTATTGTATAAGAATAAATGTTATTGATCAAGTGTGGATTTGTTGTTGTTTTGATCACTCCTATGATTTTTATAC